GTTATACAGTCATGGTGAAATGAATTCTGAAATGAAGAATTAGACACATTCTGAGAACATGTGAGACTTTCATTGATTTGTTGAAAAGGTTTGCAATATTGGACCTTCATATTTTCTAAACATTTATGTTTGCAGGCCCTATTTTAATACGGTGACACTCCGATTTAAACATCAAGTGACAGTGAACAGTTCACTGCTAATATGCTCAACTACATCACTGCCCTTTTTTTCCTTTTTACCTTTGTTGTATAGGACAGTGAAGAGAGAGACAGGAAAGTGGGGGAGAGGAATGAGGGAAGGACCTGCAGCAAAGGGCCATGAGTGGGATTCAAACCCATGGCTGCTGCATCAGGGACTACAGCCCCTGTACATGGGTCGACAGCAGCAGCCCATCACTGCCCTTTTAATCAAAAATGAATGTCGGGCCTACGTTTTAGGAGCACATGTAAAGCAGATTAATTTTCTTTTAAACCAGATCACTACAGATAATATAGTAAGTTCTTGCATAAGCAGATACATTTAGTGTCTGCATTCATTCTTAATTGCTACCGAAGCGTTCAGGTTGTGTTTGTCAAATATGCTTTTCTGTCCAATCTAGTGCTGAAATATCTTCAGACAACTACTGCTTTATCTAGTTCCAACTTTCTACAGTAACACTCAGTGGCTGGCTGCTTGCCACTCATCACTTCGTCCTGATAATCATGCATCGTTGCTTCAGGCCTTGTATGGCTGTGGGGAATTTTTCCTTTGCTCGTACTTGGTTCTTAAGCCTTAAGCCTTAAATCCAATCTGGCTCGACCCCCTTTTCAAGTGAAGTTCTTGAAGCCGAACTGTAATGAAAAACCTAAATGCAATATGTCTGTGACTGCTGCTTCACAGGTTGTGGACGGGCTCTACCTGGGGAACATACGAGGTAAGACAAACATGATTTGATGCTTTAAATTAAAATACATGCAGTTATAGATTGGTCAGGCCAGACCAAGGTATAAGGCCATCAGTGTAAGGTAGGAAAGCATGAAGGAATGAGCAGTGTGAGGACTGATAAAGAAGAATTGTGCTTTTAAAAATCTTATATCTTAAATATAATATCATAAAAAATATTGGATTTTTTTGTATTCACCCAAATAATATGAGGAAAAAAGGTTCCATTTGCCTATAATCACTGTAAATGGTATTCAGAGTCAGTGCTATTCTCTATATGTGGCATATTTATTACAAGATTTTTCAAGATTTCATAGCTGACATTTTTTTCTTCTTTTATCAAGCAGATTTTAGGGTAAAAAGATGTAAATACCTCGCTGAAGATGACACAACTAGAAGGTTAAAACCTAAAATATGAGTCAGCAGTCATTAGTGCGACACTCCCCGGCCTGACACAACCTCTTCCTAGTTAATGTGGCCTTTGCAGCGTTCTAACTTTAGCTACCTTGATGATGGCTCCACATGATGGCACAAGTATAATGGCTAAAATTAGTTTCAAGTGACAGGAACAAGTGACCAGAGGCCTGACTGTACCAAATGTGTTGGAGGATAGTAAACAGCTCACAAGGCCTGCCTCTGCAGAAGCATCACTGTATCTGATTAGACATTTTGGTGCATTTGGTTTGTGTTAAACTTCACTACTAAGAGTCTGGTGGGATTTTACTCCTCTGTCCTTGTTACAGATGCCGAAAACAGAGAAAGTCTATCCAAGAATGGCATCACCCACATCTTGTCTGTGTACAACAATGCCAAACCCGTGTATGAGGTCAGTGGAAAAATCCTGGTATTATTTTTCATGACAAGTTTTCATGAACCATTCTAGTGATTTGCTGTGGAAAATTTTTACCTGCTATGACTGTGCACGCCTCTTTAATAATGTAATTTGTGCTGTCAGCCAGCTGGGGGTAGTGATGAGTTGTAGTTGGAGCAAGAGAGGTTTCAGTTGTGTGCTGCATGTGTGTTTAGAGGCTAATAATGTAAGATTTCTTTAGACGCTCCAATATGTGTAATTACCAGGTTATAACCTAAGTGTGGGCTATTGTAATTTAGGGACAACACAACTCCCTGCTGTATTCTGTGAGCTTTACACACATCATTAGAGTTATTGGGCAAGGAATTGCTCAGTGTGAGAGACATGTAAATCCTGGGGCTCACATTAGATAGAGATATAAAACTGACATGGGCTTTACTTTTAGTAAATGATATCGTATAAAGTATATTTGAAGATTTACAGATATCATCTAGACATGACATGCACGGTCTATGTTCTTGAATTTCCTTTCAGTTGTCCACAGTTTTTCATGAATGTTTTTACAGGACATGACGTACCTTTGTATTCATGCAGCTGATGCTTCCAGCCAGAACCTGTGAGTAAATCACACAAAATTGCAGATTTAAAAAAAAAATTTCATGATTTCTTTTGGTAATCTCCACACATTTACTACTAACAATGTTGAGATTAATTTGTACTGCAAGTTTTTAAATTCAAGCAGTACTTCAGTGGTCAGGGTGACCAGTACTTCCTAGTTTATCTAAATAATTCATCAGTTATGTCCATGTGATGATGTAGATATATGTTATTAAATGCATTCTATTCTGTTACTACGATTGTGCACTCACAATAGCTTTTTTGTGTTTATGTGTGTGAGAAATGGAGTAAATGTGTTCAATGTGTCACTGTTCACTAGCAGACAGACTCAGTGTTGAAAGAGGCATGAGCTATCCCTCCACCCCAACAGCAGCTGCTAACGCATCACATTAGTCATAGCAGCAGTGTCTCTTCTATGCACAGTCTCTGACCTTATGCAACACCGGCGGCCATAAGTCTGCACTTAACACTCGACGTGAACTGAAGGCCCAACACAGAAGCACCAGCCAGAGGCTACAGCATTAATGTATAGAGCAAAAAAAGAGCAGCCTGGTGTCTTGTGACCCCCGTTAATGACCCACTTTGAGATCAGATGTGGAGCCGGTGAGGGATTGTGTTGTTACAGCTGCACTGGTGCCCTCTGCTGATAGTCAGAGTTCTTGCACAGGTACGTCTCAGGAGCCGATGCATAAATCTTTTTCACCGTTCCCGTGGAGCTCCTCGCTGACAGCTGAGAAGAGTTTAATTTGTCGGTTCCCAGAAATGTCAGTGCGACTTTAACCTCTGCATTCACTGAAGTTATCCAGGATTTAAAGAGGAGCTCTACTTACTTTAGTTTGTACAAAAAGAAAAAAGAACTAGAACTGTGTGAACTGTAAGGAGAATTTAGTTGTACTGCTTGGTTGGATGTTGCTGATTGGGTTGGGCTGGAGGTGTCTGACCTCCACTGTCGCAATCAAGCGTCCTTCCCTCAGGCAGCAGAGGAAGGAAACCTAAGTGTGACATCTGGCTGTTAGCTTCGACCACCCTGGGCTTTAATAAACCCCCTCTGTCACAATCACTGGTCTGACTGAGGGGCGGGTGAGGCCAACTGCCGTCCCACTAGGCTTACCATCATCCAGGGGCCCCCTATGGTCAGATCCGACGGCCCCTCCCATGTGCAAGGTACACAGCAGGGCCTGTCTGACTCACAAGCCTCTTTTTTGGAGCAACTGTTGTGGTTTGAAGCTGTCTGCAAAACCTTCCACCTCCATGAAGCCATTGTGGCTGTACTTTGGAATTCAGTTCAGTGGAAGCCTCAAAACACAATTCCTGTTTCAGCGGGCTTCATCGTTTAAAAGAAAAAGGGAGAGCCAAGCTTCCACCCTAATGAGAACAAGTCCTAGAAACAAATCTTCCAAATCTTGGTCAGACCTCAGCAGCATTTCTGACTGTCAGGCCTGCAGCGGGTGACGGGCAGCAGAACTAAACTACCAGCTAGTCGGGACATGAAGGCCGTCTGGGTCACTGCTGCAATCGATGTAGTCGAGGATATTGTAGGCTTCACATTGAGCGCAGCGAATATGTGATTGAAATAAATGTTGCAATTGTGTATAGTTGCTAACGTGTAGGTGTTTGTGGAAAGCTGAGGGTTCCTCTTTTTGCCTCTCGTGAAAAGCCTGCTCTGGTTTCAGTGCACGGTGCGCATCGACCATAAAGGTGTAAATTTATTTGCATCAACATTTCCAAAATGAGATGTGTATTTTTATGCACAGTCTCCGTGTCCAGTATGATGTACTGTGGTTACAACTAAGCTGGTAAACGTTTTGGTTTGTTTTAAAATGATTTTATATTCATACCGATGTGATTAGAGTTTTAAAATCAGCAAACAGCACTGTATAATCTCCCTTTTGCATTTCCGAAACACGCCGCCTGCTCTTGTTTCAACACTATTCTCTGGTTAAAACCTCAAATCTTTGTCACAAGTTTAATTTTCTGCATATTAAACAAGTCTGCCGGAAACCTCTGTGCTAGGAAGACAGAACAAAGTGCTGAGGAGACATGTTTTAAAGAGGAGTTTGGATCTCAGGAAGGAGGAAAAAAGAAAAGTGACAGTCAATCTATTTTAACCCCAGTCTGTTATTCTGTCTGCTGTTGAGTAACCAGCATCTGCTCCTCAGGAGACGGCGCTATCAGCCATGCACTTCTTGATTATGCAAAACCCCATCAGTGTTTCCTGACAGTGTATAAGTAGGATATCTGTGGAGCGCTTACACTTCATTGTGCTCCTTTGTGTTCGTTTTTATTTCAGAGCGGAGTCTGAGGATGTTTGTGATCTTAAACAATAAACAGGTTTTTTTTTTGTCCATTCACCTGTTTGCTATAAGGCTTATTGATTGTGTTTTTTGTCGTAAGTTAAATTGATTCTCTTGATCGGTTCTACACATAGAATAAATCAAAGCTGGAAACTGATGCAATTTTGCGCTGCGACAAAAAAATGAGGACAGCTACTTCCCTTGTCTGCCCCTACTGTCTGTGCTGGTCTACCACAGACTCTCTGTTTGAGTAGACTCCACCATCGTCTCACATGACTCCCTGGAGTAGTTGAAAGGAAAATTATGGCTCCCGAACATGTGCCGTTTCTTCGAAGTAACAAAAATGAATGAAAACCGGTGCCCACTTGGGGACTTCTCCCTACGTTGGAGAGTTTCGACGGTCAAAATCAATACATTATTGGAGTTTCGGCAACTTATCTGAAACAAAAAGTTTAGGGCCTTAAAACAGGAGTTTCAGTTCAAGTTGTCCTTTTCTCATATCCTATTATGTTTAGTCTATTTTTAGCTTTACAATCCTTACACTTCAATTAAAGTAAGCCAGTTTTCTGGTTATTAACGTTTTCCTTGATACAAAACATTTCTTCGCATATTTAGTTGTTAGATATGGAAAGTCCTGTTCTAACTCTGTGTTATGTATTCTTCTTTCCAGATTACAGCATTTTAAAGAGTGCATCAGCTTCATCCATGAATGTCGCCTCAATGGTGGATCTTGTCTAGTTCACTGGTAGGTTTTTAAATCTAAACCTCCAACAGGCGCCAAGTCGTGTCTTCATTGCCCTTCATCAAAATGTGTCCTAACAAGAAAAGAAATCTGCACCTAGTGGTTTATTGTGGTTAATTTAACACCTGACAGTGCAGCTTGTGAACCAGATTTTCCATTTATTTACATTTTACAAGGAGGAAATAAGCTGTCAAACACCCTTCTGCTTTGTGATGACAACCAAACTGTTGTTTTTCCGTCGCTGTAGTCTTGCAGGTGTCTCCCGCAGCACTACGATGGTGGTGGCCTACCTGATGACTGTCACCCACTACACCTGGGAGGAGTGTCTGTCTGCAGTCAAAGCTGTTCGCTCCTTTGTCGGCCCAAACTACGGTTTCCAGCAGCAGCTGCAGGAGTACCAGACTACACAAGTGTCAGAGGTAAACACTCGTAGGAACGTACATGAATGAAACCAACACGCTTTAGCTGTTTGAACGGTGAAAGGGGACTTTAGGTCAAAATCTTTCCATGTTGAAATATTGCATTGTTTTGCCTGTAGCTATAGGATATTATTCTGCGCCGACTGTTGCGTGTTGTGTTGTGCGCCGTTGTTTGTGATTCAAGGCCCCATGCACACTCACAGGATGTGACACATACAACCATCACACTGCGCCGGCAGCCCTGTGGTTAACCTGCCAACTGTTAATCTGAGAGGCCGTCTCATGCAACCTCATGGCAATGTTTTGGTAATTTTTCTTTATGTATTTGTCATTCTTGTAGAGGCCAATCCAATAATAAAAACATGACAGTGTCAGATTAGTGGCTTTAAGTTGACACAGCTGGAAACTGAACTGCAGCTCTGTAAATCAAATAAATATGCATAGCTTAGTGTTTGAAATCCTCTCCAGAAAGTAAAAAATAGAACTGTAGCTCAGTCATACAATCAGTAAAATATAACACTGGTTTTATTTGTGTAAGGTTCATATTAATGCATTTAATGCGATATTTATCTCCTAATTTGTCACCCTATTAACTTTCATATTCATTTCAGAAGTTTTTTTCCTTCTCTGTTGCGTGTCAAGAGAAGTCCCAATGAGTTTTGGATTTATGCACTTTCACTTTAATGAGCATCACCACTTATAGGAAATATTAGTTCAAACTTCCTGGTTTATGGCTACTTTCTTTTTTCTTTTTTCCATACAAAGAAAATGCTAAATAATGTCACTGAGGACTCTGATGACATTGTCTTTGAGTCATCAGAAGACTGGGAGAAAATCACCACAGCGTTTTGCAGATACAGTCGAAATTGACAAAAGTAATAATAAATAAAAACAATTAATGAAAATCACGACGTTGCTTTTGAATTGTGGGGACAGTTTTTTTTTTTAAATCATTCTTTTCAACCATAACTCAAAAGCAATGTCTTATTTCACTTTTTTTTTTTTTAAACAAATTTTTATTTCAGTTTCTAGTTATTTGAGTGACTATTTTGTCTTTTCTTTAATGGACGGGTCTGAACACATTTAAGGACGACCGTACATTGGCAGCAGGTGGTTTTTCATGGCCTTAAATGTTTTGCATCATTTTAACCTGTTTCGTCAGTGAAGGCACCTTGTGTGTGTGTGTGTGTGTGTGTGTGTGTGTGTGTGTGTGGTTCCATTACACTACCACTGACCCAGCAGAGCACTAGCTGGCCAGAGAAGGGGAACTGCAGGGGGGTTTGCTGGGATTGCATTAGCTCGGTACTGCTCATCACGTGTTTAGCATTACTGTCAGCAGCTTGCAACACAACACGACTTTGAAAAAAAAAAATTGCTCGTTGTTTGTGGACCTCGCAGTGATTTCGAGGATTTAAGGGAAAATGGGTGTCTGTGTTTCTGATTTTCCCACATCTCTCTGAGATTGAAAGCGACGAACCCAAAGACGCCGGCGTAGTTTTGTTTTTAACGCAACTGTAGCAACATGGTTTGCTGCCTCAGCACCACAACAACAGAGCACGTGAAATGCGCTGCACTAAACTTAATATGCAGATGCAGCCGTCTTCAGGAAATCAGTGATACAAGAGAAACACGTAGAAGTTTGTTGTCCGCAGACGTTCTTTAAAAGGTCCGGTAAAGGGTATGAAAACAGGCTCCTACTGTAGACGATTAAGGAGTAAAAGACTGCTAATAAATTATTATTGCTGCTCGACTCAGCAGCACTGAACTCCACTGGTGTAGAGACTTGGAGATCAGAATACTGTACATCAGCACAACTCTCGCTTCTAACTGGATGATGGATTGTTAAAAAATAAAAATAAAAATAAAAAAAGGTGTGACATAATATTTTACAGGGAGGATTTTATATTAATGCAAAAAGAAAATGTAATAAAAAAAACCCTGTATTCTCAAAATTTTTTATGTCTTTATGTTTTTACGTTGCGTCCTTAATGTATCGTAGTTGTCTTAAGTGTCCTGCCTCCATAAACTTATATACACCTCAAATGACCCTTTTTATCTCCACTTTACTGTTATGACCTGAGCAGGTTCCTCTCTGGAGGAGCTTTATCTCTCGGATTTGACTTGACAGCGTTTATACTTTCATTTTGCCTCCTCCGTTTATCATGTGGAACACCTCAAAGTGCTTTGTGACCTCTGATGTTGTGCTCGAGATGCCACAACGTCAGTGGACAGCAGGCCTTGGTTGCAACCTTCTGCTATCAGGTGCTCCCTGATGTTTTATCTTTATACTGCGCTTTATATTTTTTTAGATTATGTTTTTATAGCTGTGTTGATGTCATGAGTCAGTCCTGTGCTGTTTGGCCTGTTTGACCTATGCCATGGAATCTAAACCTAAGAAGATAAATGGATTGCTGTCAGAGTTACTTTCACTTCATTTTATTTCATATAGACGAAGGTATTACATAAATTTCTTGATAGTTCCTGGACATCATTTCAGAGATTGCAATAACTTGCTTTTTTTGACCATCTGGTGTTGTTGAAAGACTTTAGCACACAACTCACTCTACTGTACATTTCAATGGCAATAAATATGAAGCCTGTCTTCCTATGTCTCTGTGATTGGGTCAGTAAACATGTAAATTCACAAGATCCTTAAAAGATGTAATAAGGGAAGAGGATAAGAACCCTTTCAACCCTTTTAGTTTCATTGGGGGGAGTCAAATTATATTTATTTTGTTTTGCTGTACACTTTAAACAAAGATAACTGCAGTATGGGTGGAAACAGCTAAAAACATCCATCCATTATCTATACACCGCTTAATCCTCACTAGGGTCACGGGGGGGTGGAGTCTATCCCGGCTGACTTAGAGTGAAGGCAGGGGACACCCTGGACAGGTAACCAGTCTATCACAGGGCTACACTTAGAGACAGACAACCAAGCACACTCGCATTCACACCTACAGACAATTTACAATCACCAATTAACCTCAACATGTTTTTTGGACTGTGGGAGGAAGCCGGAGAACCCGGAGAGAACCCACGCTGCACATGCAAACATGCAAACTCCACGCAGAAAGATCCCGGGTGTCCTCACCAGGACGTGAACCGGCGACCTTCTTGCTGCGAGGCAACAATGCTGACCACCGCTCCACCTTGCAGCCCCAGCTAAAAACACTGAACCCTACATTGCTCAGTACATAAAACCAACAAAATTGATTATCACTTTAAAGATAAAAACGCCAGCCAACGTGCACATTTGCATATTTCAGTTTCATAACGTAGCTCCAAGTCCACGTTGACTGATTTATAGTGCTGCATTCACTGTGCTGAAGGTTGTGAACCAAGCCTGTAAATATTTGACAGGTCGCTACGTTCTGCACAGGTTACAATAAACAGTCATGTGAAGATAAATCGCTGCAGTATTGATGAACTCAAATATGAAATTAGAATTTTTTAGAAACAAAGAAAAACAAATTCCTCACCATTATGATAATGTGATTTGTTTGTAGCTTCAGTAGCATGAATGCTCATAATTTTAACATTTCTTTTGCTTCTTTTCGGCTCGATATGTGTCGAAAACGTGATAACAGTGCACTGTTTTGTTTTTTTTTTAACTTAAGATGTGTTCTGAGGTGCCACATTTTAAAAATATGTTTGACAAATTTATTGTGTGTGTAGATGTGTTATGTTTTTATGAGAAAGAGCACAAACTAGAATTTTCCAGTCAAGGTTACTACACATGCATTATGTCCGCGTAATCAGAATTGTAGTTTTAACTTAATACAATGATGTTTAATAAAGATGATTTGGTTGTCTCCTCTCGTCTCTAGTACCGAACGTGGTTGCGCGCCAGTTTCCGTCCCAGCCCCTTCAACGACCAGGAGCAGGTGGGCGCCCTGCTGAGCCAGTACACCGAGCAACAGGAGAGCCAGAGGAGAGGAGCAGACCAGCGCTGGATAAATCAGGGAATAGGCGTGCCGTCCAACACTGATAATCCTGAAGGCAGCAGCTGAAACATGCATCTCTGGTCACGCCAAAGTTGTGCCCGATGCTGTCTGCAGCAACAACTACTCTGTACTCATTTCCAAATCAACCCCAAGCAACTTGTACAACTCTAAAAAGCATACGATGATTTAAATGCCCACTAACAAGTGAAGCATTGAAAAAAATAAAAACTTTATTTGCATTTGTCATTTTTAAGCAGTGGAGGTTGATTTAGAATTGTGCTACAGACTCTTATCCACTACTAGTACCTGCCACACTCCCCTAACAGAGAGTACAGCCACAACAGGGGTATTGGTGCTCACAGACGCCTTACTCTAAACACCTCAGCACCTTAGCCATAACCAGTAATTTCCATTTGGACTCCTCACACCTGCAATGTCCAGCTCAGTAGCCTTAAAGACATGACTGATTTAAAGCTGTCTTAAATGAACATTTTGCCTGCAGTGATGCTAAAATCCAGTCTGTAGTGATGGTCAGTGAAATACACCAAACTGATGGCAGATGTATTTAATTTTGACATGCACCAGTACACTTATAGTACTTTTTTTGATCGGCACAGAAGCTTGTGAACTTGTTGTGCTGACATTATTTAACTTGTATGCACAGCCTGCTAGCGGCAAGCACCAGCGCGAGCTTGTTGAACATATTAAAACTATTTCAACGGACATAGGGTCATTTGCTGATATACTAGCCACTTAGAAAAACAACAAATGTATTGTACTACTGATGCACATCACTGCCCATATAGTAAAAAGCACTTGTTTGTACCCAGCTGGGATAGTGTTGGTTCATTTCAGTCGATCCTTTTCATTTCATTTGGTTTATCTTTTGAGTTTATGGCAAACTGCGTACACACAGTATATATCCTGCATAGCGGAACAAAGTCCTTTTCCATCCCTGGACAGGTCACCAGTCTATCACAGGGCTACACTTAGAGACAGACAACCAAGCACACTCACATTCACACCTATTTAGAATCACCAATTAACCTCAACATGTTTTTGGACTGTGTGGGAGGAAGCAGGAGAACGGGGAGAGAACGGGGAGAACATGCAAACTCCACCCAGAAAGATGTGTACTAACCCGGATGTGAACCGGCGACTTTCATGCAACGGTGCTAACCACCGCCTCGCAGGTGACACCGCTCCACCTTGCTGCAATGAATGTCGGTTGGGTAGTTGGAGGGAAAAAACAGGCGAGTTGTTGCAAATTGAAGCCTCTCAGACAGACAGAGAGGACAAAGTGAGTATATGTCAGATAAGGTGAGGGTGACCTTTGTAAGTAGGCCGCCACAGTCACCATCACAGATACAGCATAATGCACTGTGGACATTAAGAACAAATTGAGTGACGCACAAGTTGGTTTCAGACGTGGCAAAATGTTCCTTTAAGTAACACATCGCAGGTTGAAATGGGAAGCGACAACAAACACACGGCTGAGCTTAAACCATAACTACAGATGAAGGATCTCTGCTGTCCAGATGCTCGTGTCTTCCTGATTTTACCGACGCTCTGATTTCTCTTTTTATTATGACGAAGCGGATTTGTAGGGAATTTCTGTTGTGAATTCGTGGGTACAGTTAACTTTGTTTTAATTGTATATTTATGGTGTTACTTTTGTTTTTTGTTTTGTTTTTTGTGTTTTATAATAAAATGCAGCGATTGACAAAAAAAGATGGAATTGCTAATAAATCTACTACCAACACCAGATTGTGTGTGTGTCTGTGAGTATGGAAAAGAAAGTACAAGCTGTACAAGTGAGGATGTTATTATCATATTAAAGACAATTTAAAGGTGTAGCTGGTGGATAATATCACTCAGAAGTTGTATTTTATGACAGATACAATCAATAGTTTTTGACATGAAACATTATTCTGCTGGACGCCTTATTTCAATAGATCAAGTCTTACAAATATCTACTCATCTTTCCTTCATAATCATGATTCCACATTAGATCGTTTTGCTCTGTTGGAAGGAGGCAGAGTGTCTAACTCTCATCACAAACATCCTCTTCAGTTGTTACCTCATTATGTGGAAAAACAAGGCGTCAGTGCTTCTCTGGAATTCATTCCTGTGGGGAGAAATTCACAACAGATACTGTAAGTCTAGTATTTCTCATGTCATCTACTTCTAACCAAAATGTACTTATATTATAATAATACAATAATTATATATATATATAATATTATTATTTCCAGTGCTTTTAAGTTCTTATATGATGTGGGGGAAAAAATAGAGCGACAGTAAGTAAGCTTTCTTTTTCATGTAGGGCATGTCGAGGCAGGTTAATTCCTGACTGTGATCTTAAATTCAGATTTACTGTAAATTCAGAAAATGACGTCACCAGAATTCTGTTAACTGGAAAACTAATGTTTATAATACGCTCACTGAGTCGAGCTCAGCATAAATCATAGGTGTTGTGTCTGTGTCTGATGGCCTGCTGAAATCATTCAGTGAAGCTTGTTCCAGGTCTGCTTTGTTTTTGTTTTGTTTTGTTTTCTTGAACAAATTATGAAATAATGGAAATTGTGTTGCATTTGTATTGGAAAAAAAACATCAGTCGGGTGTTTTTACAGTGAATTTGATGAGTATTTTCTTATTTAATCGATTGTTTTGTTCATAAAATGCCAGGATGGAAGGCAAAACAGTTAGAAATACATAAAATCCAAGCTGATGTTTCAAATTGTTAACTCAATAATAATTAAGAAGCTGAAGCAGGGAAGTGTTGGATGTTTTTGCTTGAATTATTATTTTTTTTTAAATCAATAACTTATTAATAAAAATAGTTGATTTTTTTTTTTTTGGTCTTGGAGCAAAATTGATTACTTCTTCAGCTCAGCCACTAAGAAAATATTACAGGTATTTAGGTAATGGACCTTTAATAAGTTAGATGATGGTAATATAACGTTGCTTTCTCATATTTAGTCTCCTCTCATGATTCTAATATTAGATGATAATTCACTTCAGTGTGTTTGCCTGGGTGTCCTCCCACCATAATATTTACCACAGTTTTGATATTAGACGGGTTTATATCTTCCAGGGGGACGAAACCAACCTACTGCACACAGACACACGCCGACAGAAGGCTGCTGTACCTGCGGAACAACTTTCTCATCGCCAGTGACTCGTGTTGGCGGAGAAGCGCACCTTTGGAGCGCAGAAATCCCCCACAGTTCAGGGTAACTTGTGACTCTTGGGTTTTATTCAGCGATCCACGTCCGCGTAGCTTTTTTGGCGTGGGCAGCGACTTTACAACCATCGCTTGTGTCAGGCCATTTCTTGTAAATGCCCGCAGTTCGGAGAACAAGTCTTCCGGGATGGGCCGTCTTAGCGCGCCTTCGGTGCGCTCATTGGTCGGAGCGCGCCAGCGCTGTCAGATCCTGTCCCCTGCTGTTTCATTCATAACAGGTTTTTAAGTGCATGTCAAGGAGCAGTGAGTGGATTATCTCTGACAGTGAGCCATCCGTCAACATCACACCTAGAGCTCAGCTGCTTATCAAACCGTAAGTGCTTTTACTTTTGATTTCATTCTAAAAGGTGAAAGTTAGATATTATTCATTCACTCTGGCTTCATTAGTCATAAGTTATTTTTGGTATTTCAGAGAAAAGTAAATAGTAGAAGTTTTATTAACTTTTATAAATTGTATTATCCTCATTTAGGTAGAAGCAAACAATCCAACAAAAAGATTTCTCTGCTAAGATGTCAAACTCGGGAGGTCGGAGACTGAAGCAGTGGCTGATGGAGCAGATCCAAAGTGCGCAATACTCAGGACTCCAGTGGGAGGATGAAAGCCGCACCATGTTCCGAATTCCGTGGAAACATGCAGGGAAACAAGATTACAACCAAGAAGTAGACGCATCCATTTTTAAGGTCTGAAACACTCCTGTGTAGTATGACATACAGATTTACTGTAAGCAATTTTAGTTTTACGCAGCGCTAAAACCAGATCTTCGTGGATCATTCGAGCACTTCTGGTTTCTAAGTGTGGCTCTTTTGGGGCTTAATGGAAATAATCATTCAGAACATTATTTGTCATTGTTTTCATTTGTTTTTAGCAAGCAAAACTTTTCACTTGAAGAAAAAGCCTCTTTGGAATTTGTGAATTTAAATGTGTGATTTTGTTTTTTAAAATTTTTTTCTTGAACAATTTTCATGTTTCTTAAACAGAATCCAACTTTAATTCAAACACTACACCAGCAGTTATAACATTAGTTTTTTTTGCCCTCCACAGGCCTGGGCTGTGTTTAAAGGCAAGTTTAAGGAGGGGGACAAAGCTGAACCCGCAACATGGAAGACCAGACTCCGCTGTGCCCTGAATAAAAGTCCTGACTTTGAGGAGGTGACCGAGAGGTCACAGCTGGACATCTCTGAGCCCTACAAGGTGTATCGCATTGTACCCGAAGAAGAGCAGAAAAGTGAGTTTGTGTTATTGTGTGTGAATTTTAAGTAAAATTCCAAAACAAGTCGACATCGTCCCACTGATGGCAGATCGTGTTCGTACCTTGTCAAACTGAAAATGCAATACATGTTGCAGGATGACATTCCTCAGACATTCTTACTGATTCTGACAAATGTAAAGGCAATGCAGTAGGTTAACGCTGATGTTTTTACTGTGAACAGAGTCCTAAACGATGCATTATTCTTTCACCCACAGATGGCAAAAGCTCAGTGATGGCCATGGCAGCCACCAGCAGCTCTGGAGATATGACAGACATGGACTGCAGCCCTGCTGAATTAGAAGACTTTATTAAAGAGGTGAGGCTGCTTCTCACTTCAAATCATTAATTAGGCTTTATTCCACCCCCACACCTGATCTGAGACGCACTTTGCCTTTATTGCTACTTCGTGTTGGTGTCACTTGTTTTTCTCAATACCACACTCTGCCGTCTCCTCCAACACTTGTTGCACCGACACCCTCCCACTAATCTGCTTGACTGAACAGTGTACAAAGGTGCCTTGTTGACAACGTCTTGTTGCACTGTGTTGCAGGAGGAAGGCTGCGGCATCCAGGCCAGTCCAGAATACTGGTCCCAGAGCAGCATCAATGGTAAGACCGCCTTTCTACCCAGTTTACAACACAACATACACTCCTCTGAATAAAATGAGCTTGGAGATATAAGTCTGTCCAGACGTCACGCCGTGTTTTGTCCTGACCTTCATGTCAGGCTATTAGTTCTGTTTTCTGAGACGTGAGCTTTAATTCCCACGAAAACAACCACAGTGGAAATCTCAAGCACGTCCCAGCCGTTGTGGGTGCTAAATGGAGGCTATTTGCTTGTCTGTTGAATTCTGCAATGGAAGAATTGACTAACATCCTGTTGAACTTTGCTGACTAAGGTGATTATTTCTTTGTCAGATCGTGCTGGAGAAATGCTATTTCTGATGATGCAGCAAAGCAATGACATGAGGTTGTGGTTGTGTCCACTGAGTTAAAGACAGCCTTAACTCACGTCTTTGTCTTGTAAATTCACAGCTTTCCCGTTGCATCAGGACCCTTTACCATCAGGCACTCTCAGCTCAGGTACTTATTTATGTTGTCTATGAAAGTGTCACATCCGCTCTTTGGAGAAACATTGGCAGTGATAATGAAAAAATGCAGGATATATGCATTGTGTCTTTATTTTTTGTGCACATATTTGCGAATCTTACCAAAGCGCTCTCCTCCCCAGCTTTCTCCCAGATGATGATCAGTTTCTACTACGGAGGAAAGCTGATGAACACCACGCTGGTAACTCATCCTGAAGGTTGCAGGATTTCCCCACAGCAGCACCTGGCTCGCAGCGCCCTCTACAGCTCAGACAGCATGCAGAGTGTCCACTTTCCCACCCCCGAGCTCATCGAGTACGAGCGGCAGCGCTATGTCACGCGCAAGCTCCTGGGCCACCTGGAGAGAGGTGTATTGGTCCGTGCGAACCAAGATGGCATCTTCATCAAGAGGCTGTGCCAGAGTCGTGTTTTCTGGAGCGGCCTGGGAGAGGTGGGCTCGCAATACAGCCCCATGCCTGGCAAACTTGAGAGGGATGCCGTGGTGAAGATTTTTGACACAGGAAGGTTTTTTCAAGGTGAGGGACTGAGTTCAGTCAGTTATCTGAAAGCTCAGGAGAGTCACAAACACATTTATTTCACATCAATGCTTTAGAGCAAGTAAATGATAATGAGGGATTGATACTTTGGAAAGATTGTCTAAGCAGCTGTTCATTTATTTTGCATGTTTCAGCTCTGCAGCTGTATCAGGAGGGTCATATTCCCGCTCCTGATCCAACAGTGACTCTGTGTTTTGGAGAGGAGCTCAATGATCACAGCAGCGCCAAGAACAAACTGATCATTGTGCAGGTACGACCACTGAAGTCATGACGTGTCTTTCTCAGACAGCTGGCCTGTTGATATAAACAGTTCGATGCTAATGATGCAGAGTTTTGACAATAAATCGGCATTCCTCTCACAGATCACTGTGGTAAACTGCCAGCACCTGCTGGAAACGATGAACATGCGTCGCTCCCAGCCTTACTGCAACAACCCAAACCCGGAGATGGCTGATGAGGTGGCCAGTGACCAGATGGCTCGCATCTACCAGGACTTGTGCAGCTACAGCGCTCCTCAGAGGCCAGCCTGCTACAGGGACAACATGCCCATCACTGCCTGAACTGTGAGCAGTAACCACACCCGACAGGAGCGCTGCAGCTTGTAATACACGTACAAAATATTAGGGACATTTCTTAAATTTCTGACACTGACGAGGTGATTTTACTGACAAAAAAGTAGTACAGCTGAAACTCAACATTAGCATGTCCCTGATATTTTGTATGTTTTTACTTTTGTGTACAGACGGGACGTAGAACTGTGTCCAAACATCTGCTTTTTCATTATTGTTATCATGCGTCTCAGTAAACAAGCGGTACATCATGTTCATATCTTACAAACACCCCGAGTCAGAACAAATCTATCATAGCAATATAGAGCCTTACTCAAATCCTCTCTGCACTATGACAACAGTTTGACATACGTTTAGTTCTCAGTTTTACTTGTTTTTGAGTTTTCTTCCATGTGTGACAACCATTTGAATAAAACAGACCAGGTGGACATTTTATCAGATACTTTTCTGACAGATTTTTTTATATGAGTTGACAGAAATTGCATCGACTTTTAGATGCAATGCGATGTTAAATGACAGATAGGTTTTACTATCAGACTTTTTACATGTAAAGACCTTTTTGACATCATGTTTTGTAAACGGCATTTGAAATAAAAAGTTTTTACTGAACTTCACTCGAGCTTGTCGCTGTATAATTATGCTGTAGTTTTATTTAATGTTGGATTGTTGAAGTATCACAAAGTTGTGTCGTAGCTGCTGGTTTGGGCTCAGACTTGTGTTCAGGAAAATAGGACTATGACTCAGAATATTTACTAAATCACATATAATTAATGGAATTGGAATTGCATGGCTCTTGTCAACAATTTTCCCAAAGCAGTTTAGATTTTTTCCTCCATATGCAGCTTTTTCAACCATTTCTAGGCCGAAGTTTGTGGTGAACTACTCATGCAACCACCGGTGCATGTCAGGTTGAAAATAACACACTGATGTAAGTTACTGAAAAGTCAGTTTTACTGTATTACTTGAATGTATTTATCAATTCCTCAACATCATTGTAATGTTTGCACACTATATCAGGTGCCTCATGCTCCATTCTAATTACATTTTCCTTTAATTTCATTTGACAATCTTGAAATATTTCGGCTCTTTAGTATTAGGATTTGATACAAACAGGAACCAGCGCGGCTCGAACGATGCCTGGCTGCACAAAATACAAATGCCGACGGGCTTGAAGACTTTCAATTTCATATTTCGTCTGAAATTCAGGAGTAGGTGGCCATCGTAGCTTCCTAGAACCACAGTTTCAATGCGTGCAACTTCGTCACCTTGATAAACTATGAAACAAAGGAGGACCTACCCACAGCAAACCACAGCAGAACCTGCAATGTTTGCAGATTAACCTGGAAGCCAAGCGACAGAACGGGGTGCGTCCTTGAGAGAGCATCCAGTAGGCCACAACTTACACTTTACAGTAGTTCACCATGGTTGGCCTTATGAAAAAAGTGAAATAAGGGCTACACACACCGGAAAGGACTGTTCTCCTACACACTCAAAGTTTCGTTTAATCTTCTCGGACAATAGGACTGACTTGACAAAAACTCTCATTGCTCTAATCAAGAAAACCGTCATTCCGAAAGCCGATTCGTCACTTCAGCGACATCAACAGAAGAGCGTTTAGAAGGAACTCCTCGGCTGAGACGCTCATTTACGATGAACACACACTGTTTATTACTCCGGCTTAGAAATGATGAAACTAAAACACTGTTTGAAACTAAAAGAAGGATCTAGACGTCGTAAGTAAGGGAAACTCTCAGACACCCCCTTCCTCCCCCCGCCGCCACCGCCGCCGCTGCCCCGCTCACATCTCCACGATGACTAAGAGAGAAAGGACAGGAAGAGAGGTGACCAGCTGGTGCCAAGTGATTAAATGATTCACAGGGACACAATGACAGCCTTTCTTCTTCTTCTTGTGTCTCATACAGTTGGTCAATACGGGGGGCACAAGAGAGCATCATCTCTCACGTCATACTGGTTACATGGGAGCAATATTGGCAGGGAAGTAGCGTGTTTGGGTTTTAGCATAATGTAGGGACTTCAGAGGAATTGCATTGATTTCCTGAAGATTTACCCGAACTCTGACCCTCATCTCTAATCCAACCGTAGCCGTACTTCAACCCTTTGAACTGAAATTTAACTATTTACAACAAGGGACCTCACTTTTTTTATTTTTTATCCCCAGAAGGACGGTGGGACCCTCACAGCGATGGTGTAAACAGAATTTACGTCCCCACAATGTGAAAATAACAAAGTACACATACACACACATAGTTTGTGCATGTTTGTGTTTTCAGTTCCCCAATACTCGGGCCGTGAGTTTCTAATGGTCATTGTAAAAAAATGCTCCCATGTGTGTTGTACATGTGTCTCTACTGTAAGCTGAAGAAGATCTAGTCGTTTGTGAAATTTACCCAAATACTTAAAAGCTGAAGAAAAAAAAAATTAAACTAACTAAAAAGTTGTGTCAAATAAGCGTTGAATGCAAAAATGAACCAATCTAAAAATGAAATACCGATGAAGGTTGCATAGAAATAAAACCCCGTCTAGTTCCACATGACAAATGAGTAATATGTTAACATTTTGGAGACAAGGTTGGGTAGCTAATTAAATACCTTTTTCTTTATAAGACAAAAACTTTTTTGCTATAATGACTCACAGAAAAAGCACCTAGTCATGCGCTCTTCATCTGACACCTCTGAATAAAACCTTTCACTTAAATTAGAATGTCGAATCAATGCTTCATTGAATTAACACGCAGCTGGAATATGGCATCTCCGTGTGTGTGTGCGTGCGGTTATTTACACGGGGGAGTATTGTTTAAGTTCCACAGAAGAGGAACTTACTTCAAAAACTGTCACAGGAAACTGCCACCAGTCCCGAGCACCCCCTTTTTTTTTTTTTTTTACAAATAACTTGTTTGTCACTGGATTAACATAATTGATTTATTTTATTGATATATACCTTGTAATCGGATACTGTCCTTATGTTTGTGGAAGTACAGGTTTGTAAAATATATGTGCTAATTTGAATAAAGAAAGAAAACTTTGAATAAATACTGATTTAGAAGCAGAAACACAGACGAAATACGAGGAAAAAGACCTAACTGGTTTTATTCGATAAGTTCTCCTGAAATTTTAACAGACAACTTATTAAGTTAACATTTTTCAACCCAAGCTTCTGTTTCAGATTAAGTTTTTGTTTATGATTTCAGTTTTATTCTGTGTTCTCTTTTTAGGATTCCCCTGTGGTCTAATTCGTTGGTTAAGTTCATATTTGTCAAATAGTCTATTTCTAAATAAAAATTCCCATAAAAATATTACTTCTGCATCAGTAATGATAAAGCATTTTTTGGGACACGCTCGAATGTATGTAAAGGAAGGATGTAGCGACCGTGATGCCACCTGCGGGTTTGTGAGCGACACTTCTGAAGCCTCGAGTTTGGCATTTGGTGTTATCGTCTTTGTCCGGAACCAGATGTAAAGAGGGAGCGATGGAACTGACTGGAGAACCCGATGGCACAATTCAATTCAGTTCAAATAACTTTATTTATCCCCTAGAGGTGATTCAAAAGCTCACTGAGTATTTAATATAAAGACATCAAAACAATAAACCACGTCATAAATATCACATTATATTACGTGGGCATTGGACGGGAGTCAGCGGGTCAGAGATGGTTGTGCATTTAGACGGAGGACAGTTCTGGGAACAAAAGATTTCCTCCATCCTGTCTGGTTACTCAGCATTTACCGTCGCTGGCTCTCAGTCTCTGCCTGGATGGCCAGTCTGTCTGACTCTCTGTGCTGCTCTTTAGCCATCTGCTCCAGATCCTCTGAGCATCAGCTTGTTGAACTTCTGTTTGACCTGAGAGTTGAGCTCCATGAGAGCAGACTGAGGTCCAGGACAATCCCTGATGTCCTGGATGAGAGCTTTGATTTCAAGATCATATTTTATAATTTCTTGTCCGCAAATTCGGACGTGAACATCCGGCAGCCTGGCCAGCGACGGTGACGTCCAGAGGGGAACCACTCATATGCAGGGAACAGCCGGTGTGAGGGGTCCTGAACGATCTTGCTGGCTTTCCTAAAGGTCTGTTGCTCACAAAAGGTGGAGAGGGCTCTTACAGGGAGCAGATCAGATCTTGACAACACTCAGTAGCCGCATAGAGATAGAGTGAAACCAGCACATAAAAGAGAAGGTGATTATGCTGTCTATGAAGGAGCAGTAAAACGTTGTGAGGATGTTTTTGCTCACACCGAAAAAGTTCAGCTTCTGCAGGAGATACTGATGACATTTTTTCAGAATCTCATCCATGTTGAGGTCAAACTTCAGCTGCTGGACAAAGACTGTGCCAACAATTCGGTAGCGACCCGTCAATATAGCCTGCTTTAGTATCTATTTTACTCCAAATGAGCCCATAGTTATGTATTCAAAAGGCCTTAAAACATGCATCAAGAGCATAAACTTATTAGAAAAGTGTTTACTGAGGTAACAAATCAATTGAGAAGTAGAATTATTTTCCTTTGACTTTGTGAGGCTTTTGTGTTCATTTTTCAGATCCAAAGGCTTCATTCAGCTTTCATACATGATCTATGGAAATACTAAATATGAAGGTTGCAGCCAGCAGTCAGCGTAACACAGAGACTGGACACGGGGAAACTGTTGGCCTGGCCTTGTTTGAAGACAACCAAACATACCAGAAACCTTTAGAGAGCAAATTCTTTCGTCTTCTTCTTCTTTTTTTTTAACAGATGAGCTTTGCTATATACTGGTAAACGGACTGTGTCACCTTTGTGCAGATCCAGGCTGACTGTTGCCCCGCTTTTGTGTGAAACTAAACTAATCTCTAGCAGTGGTTTCGTATCATTTTCCAATTCGGTTGTATGTCGGTCTTTTCTTCTCACTCTCAGTCAGAAAGAAAAAAAAAAACGGGCATGACATAAGAGAAGGATGTTTTATGGGAGTCAGCGCTGTACGCTTCACATGTTCCATCAAACTCTTACTTCACTTCTGTATTTCCATTTTGGGAGACTAAATATGTCATTTCCATGCCTGTACAAGAGAATTATTTTTGATCGTACCTCTATTTTCTATTAGTTTAGGGGTTTTACATGCAAAACAGAGGAAAAGGACATTGTTTCAGCCAATTACCAGAACATAGTGGAGCTAGACTGGCTAATTAAAGCACTGCAGGCCTACTTGTGTGTGTTTTTTTCTCAGTCAAACATGAGGTACATCTTGTAAAGAGCCATTTCTCAGAAGAGACATTAATATCTCCACAGATAGAGGAACATCTACGGACGAACACTTCTTTTTACTTCTGGTACTTAGATTTTCTTGTAAATGCTTCTTTAATTTTGAAAGACGTTAAACTAGTGTACGAGGATCAGATTTGTTTTCCCACCAGCGCAGGAGGAAGAGAAGTCACAAAACGCTTGTGTACATTTCTGCTAAAAGACACTTTTTCTTGCTCACATTTTCAGCGTCTGCAATGTGGTTCTCTTTGTGTTGCAACATCTCTTTGTGGCGTCTGAGGCTTCCCACAACAAACCATTAGAGACGAGCAAAAATCAGAACTGATGTTGCCATCATGCGCATCCAAGGCCATCTGCTCCAACAA